AGGGAAAGAAAAAGAGAGAGGCAAATGTGAGGAGTCAATATCAAACTTCTTGCCAGTAGAGTAAGAGGATTCTCACAGAATTTACTCCTCAACTCAAACTTGCATGGCCAGTTTGCATGAAGGCAAGAAAGCTGCTAGAAGCAGCTTTACCTCTGCAAAAGTATCCAGCAACTTTGTGGTTGGGTGGAAAAATTGCCACAGCAAAGAAAAAAATTAGGCTTTTTCTCCCTCCCTACCCTAGGACGTTTCTTATTCTGAGGCTGAACATGGCCAGCTATATCTGCTGAACTGAATGCTGAGGAGCCTGACTTCCTAAGGAATAGTCAGGACTTATAAGGTACAATACAGGCTGCTAGGGCCAACCCGAGGGTATTGAGGCTAGGGCAAATACTATGAATATGGGGGTAGGAGTACAGCAGTAGTTCTCCATCTAACAAACATTCAATAAGCCAGTTACAATGTAAAGGGAACTGTGCTAGAAGTGTTAGAAGAATGAGGATCTAGCTTGCCCTCAGGGAGTTTATGCTCTAGTAGAGAGATGATGTGTACACATATACAATATGACTTAGTCTGTGCAGCTCAGAAAGAATGAAGAGCTCTTAGAATGTGGCAAGTGAATAGGACAAATTCAATATGTGAGGAAGGAGCTTTGGGACAGAGGTTACAAATAGAAAGTGCTCAGAGATTCAGTGGGGCAGAAAGTGACTTCTAGCTAGGGGAAGAGGGACTTTATGGAGAAGGTGACATCTGAATGGCCCAGAAAGAAAAGAAGGGTTTCAACAGGTAGAAAGGTAGAAGGAGTGATTTTAGGCCTGTACAAATGCAACTGAGCTCACAAAGGGCAAGGAGGCGAATGAAGAACAGTCAATAATTTAGTGGAGATTGAAATTAGAATGTCTGAAAGGGAGCAAAGTGAATAAAGGCTGGCAAGAGATAGTAGAGTTAAAGGGTAGGGCAGAAGTCCTTACTTACTCTGTGTGTGTGTGTGTGTGTGTGTGTGTGTGTGTGTGTGTGTGTGTGT